CTGCCTACCTTCTATGCCCCCCCACCTGCCTACCTTCTATGTTTCCCCCACCTGCCTACCTTCTATGCCCCCCCCCCGCCTACCTTCTATGTTTCCCCCACCTGCCTACCTTCTATGCCTCCCCAATCCTTTAAGCTCAAGACTTACGAATTCAAATCAGTGGTTTTCCTTGCTATCAAGACACATGTTTGCATTTTCCTGTTCTTTTGACTCAGAATTGAAAGCAGGCCTCACAGGACTCAGGAGATGTGGGGAGAGATGGAAGAATGCTTTTAGAGAGGACTGGAGAAGATGATTCCTGGGTTGGGGTGGGGGGACAGGGGAGAAGGACCTGGGCAAATAAGACATGTCCCTTTGGGGCCTTCAGTGGAGACATAGGGCAGACAGGAGGCTGTTCACTCTTTAGCCCTGGATTCTTCCCAGCGTCCTGTCTGGCCTTAAGTTTGAGGTTTTGGTTCTGGTTGGAGCTGTAGAAGTCGGGGGGTGCACGGGCTCCACCTACTGTCCAGTTGGTGTTGGTGCCGGAAAGGCATGCTGAGAAGGGAAGGTGGAGCCTGGCTCAGGGTGGGCCTGGGGTGGTGGTGAGGACAGGAGCAGTCCGAGCTCACTTTCTTAAGAAACAACACAGATCCCTGAATTTGTGTATAAATAGCACATGAATACATAGATCATGCCTGTCTGGTATGTGTTTGTAGATTAATGTCAGATTTGGCTTTAAAAAACGATGTCGGGCCAGGAAGGTGGTGTAGTGGGTAAAAATGCTTGCCACACAACTGTGAAGATGTGAGCTTGGGTCTCCAGAACACACACAATGGTGCACATCTTAATCCCAGAGCTCCTGGGACAAGATGGACAATCTCTGCCAGCTTCCGGGCCAGCTAGCCTGGTGTGCACAGAGGCACAAGGCAGATGAGGGCCACCCGGGTACCTCCTGACTTCCGCATGTGCGTCACACACAAGGGTGCACACGCACAGGCAGACTAATAAAGGAATACAGACCGTGTCTGATATGTATGTATAGATGAATGTAAAGCTTTATATTTAAAATAGTGCTCCATTCATCTCTTTTTGTCTGCATGGTCTTCGTTATTATTAATAAAGTAGTAATTTCCAGGCTGCTTGGATTTTTCTTTTGTAGAGACAGGGTCCTGCTATGTTGCTCTGCTTGTCTAGAACTTACTGTACACCTTAAGCTGACCTTGAACTTGCTGCCATCCTCCTGCCTCTGCCTCTCCAGTGTGGGGCTTCTGGGTGTCCGCTGGCCTGCTGTCTTGTTAGTATCCAGCTCTCACATGAAGGAAGCGAAGAGTTGGTACGACATGGCCACCACAGTGATCACCCATCTGGTCACCTTCAACAGCTTACAGCAGAAGGCACCACACAGCTGAGAAGGTGACCGGCTTCACTCTTCTTTGCTCAGGAACTGTGCATGCATTAAAAAAGACTTTGAGCCGGGCGGTGGTGGCACACACCTTTAATCCCAGCACTCGGGAGCCAGAGCCAGGCGGATCTCTGTGAGTTCGAGGCCAGCCTGGGCTACCAAGTGAGCTCCAGGAAAGGTGAAACTCTGTCTCGGAAAAAAAAAAAAAAAAAAAAAAAAAAGACTTTGAGCTTTTTTATTAATTTTTTGGAATAATAAACTCATGGGGGAACTGAAAAAAAAAAAAAAAAAGCAGACAATACTCACCCGGTTCCGTGTGCCCTTCACTTCATTCCTTCAGCAGTGAGGGCTGCAATGGAGGAACAAATTCTTTTTCTCTAAAATCCCCATCCAGAGGTCATGGCTACTACAGGGCTGGCACTGGGCGGGGAGACCTTGGTGAGGTGTGGTTAGGTCATGAGAGAGTCTTCACATGGGATTAGTATCCTTATAAAGCACACCCTGGAGCGCTTTCATGTTATTTCTGTCTGCCACACAAGGCCACAGTCAGGAGGAAGGCAGAATGTGTGAACCAGGACCCAGGCTGCTCCCGGGTTTGAAATCTACCGGTACCTTGGCCTTGGCCTTCTAGCTTCCAGAACCACCAGGAGCCAGAGGAGCAAATGCATTCCCGCTATTTAGGAGTCACTCAGTGTGTCGGGGCTCTCTCTAGGAATGCAGCGGGTGGCATGCACACAGTGTTAGAAAAGGGGATTTCTTACATGGCACTCTAGGAGCTGGGTGGCCGTATTA